AAAAAAAAAACAATTTGTTTCGTTTGGGAGGTACTGAATTTAAAATTTTACGAATTTTTAAAAATGATTCATTCCAAAAAACGAGTTTGGTAGAGAATGTTGGTATATTCTTGAAAGTTATTTAAAACTATCAAGTCTGTTAGTATACTGAAGACCTGATGCTTCTATCTTTAAGTTCAGCAATCCCTCCATATATGCGGCTTTGGTATATATGATTTCCATATACAGGTATACTGCCGTTATACGCATAAGAGTCCCACGGTACATAAGGATTGCATAAAACATGGGACAGTTATGCGTATAACAGCAGTATATCTTGATATAACGTAACTGTCACTTATGACTTCCATCGTCAATATCTCACTGATAACAATTGAATCATACAAAATAATATTATCAATAAATGGAGGATCATCTGATCTGTACAATGGTGTTTTCGTCTGCTTCTATTTGTGCGGGGGACGCGCATACATGGAAGCCACGTAACATATGGGATTTGGCTTAGTTAATAATGTTACTATGCCTCTTTGTTAAGCCTCTTTGTTGCTATGCCTCTTTGTTCTTAATAGGGACAGCTTTCGGTAATGACGCATACACTTGGTTCCGTTAATTATTAACAGAGGGTTCCAATGAATATCCTGGACATATGGAAGGTTACTGTTTTCGGAAAAGTTGTACGGTGGATCAAGGCATTAATGTTGTCCCTTTCCTGAAGTTATCTTGATTTCCCAGAAGTACTCTGGATATCTCTGAAGCTCTCAGAACTTCAGAAAAAAAAAAAATCTGCAGTTTTCCTGAAATTAATGGAACCACCTTAAAATTCTTATTACTTCCCTAAAGTTTTTCAAAACTGTTTGGAACTTATAATATAAAGAAAGTGAGAAGGATTTGTAATTTCAATTTAATTCCACTACATTATTTGCTTATCCTTTACAGAAACGCGTCTTTCGTCTGCAAACTTATACAGTGTCTTGTACTAATACTCGACTTCAGGGCTTCGCTTATGTTTGTTTATGAATCCTCCGTAAAATTTCGGGCATTTCCTTTAATTCCCAACAACATTGTCAAAGTCCCTATATTTTTTTTGTGAAAACAATTTCTAATCTTTGCTGAAGTTCTCTGCACTTCCGTGAATATCTTGGTTGTTCTTTGAACATCCCGAAATTTTTCATAAATTCACCAAACTTACCTGAAGTTCTTCGGACTATCCTTCTCCCCTCCTATCGAAACTTTTTGAAGGCTCCCGCTATTTTCCTGAAATCATGTAACTGCCCTGATTTTTTTGGACCTGCCATGGAGTTCACTAAAAAACAAATCTTGCAGCTTTCCTGAAGTTAATTGAACTGCACTCAAGCGCTTTGGACTTCACTGAATTGAATTTTCCTGATATCTGAGGGACTTTCCGAAAGCTATTGGATCGTCTTTTAAATATTTTGAACTTCAACGAAATTCATAAGGCTCCAGATTTTGTACCGATGTAAATATAACTTTCGAAAGAAGTCCTAACAAACATTCACACGCTACAATTGTTTGCGCTCATTTATTGTTTATTAAAAAGATATGAATAATAATAATCGATTCTCGGACCTGGTTACTCATGGAGTAACCATGAGTATCCACGATGACAGGCATGTAATCCGTAGGTTAACTGCTGCAACCGGATCAATTGTGCGTGGCCCTTAAAACCCGTCACATTCCATTTGGGCGCTAGCTGTCAACCAATTATATTGTTTTTGCATTCGTGGTGAAACGATCTATAGAATTCAAGGCAAAGTTCAGTGAAGCCGGATGTACTCCGCCACTTTCAGGGGCACAAATAGCATCAGAAGCCGTGCAGATCTGAAAATTCAACTCGATGCTTATGTACAGTGAAGACTGACTAGGATGTTGCATGTCATAGAAAGCCAGTTTGACAATCGAGACAATGCGAAGTGGAAAACCAAACCATTGGCTTAAACTCATTTTTTACTAGGTTTTGCATTCCAACTCCTAAAGATCTTCCAGGTAATGTAAAATTAGCTGTTCAACCTCAACCTCTTACGAACCCGTCACTCATGACGGATGCAATACTGAAGCTATTGTCAAAAGCGTTCCTGTTCTCATGGATTCTACTCGTAATCACTCTTGTATGAAGGGACGGATACCATCAGTGTTCATCGAGCCACCGGGATGCATGTCTGCAAGCTTCATGGAAGCCCAAAAACCCCTCGTCACAGTCGAGCCATTGCGGCCAGCGCCCTGCAGACATCCCGGTCCTGTGTACGAGAGTGGAGAAGGGGTCTTCCAAGCCGTCCTCGCAGGCAAGTATTCGCACAACGAGAACAATTTGCCTCCGGTAACGTCTGCCATTTCAAGCGGTTCAACGTCAACTCCATTCGATGCAGCCGCTCAGTGGTGTCACACGGAAGCCAATCAACGTAATCGTGCCCAATCAGGGACATCTATTTCATCAGTGTTCGTCGAGTCACCGGGATGTATGCCTGCAAGCTTCATGGAAGCCCCAAAACCCCTCGTCACAGTCGAGCCATTGCGGCCAGCGCCCTGCAGACATCCCAGTCCTGTGTATGAGTGCGGGGAAGGGGTCTTCCAAGCCGCCATCGCAGGCAAGTACGCACACGTTTCAAACAGTTTACTTCCCGTGACATTGGTCGATTCCAGTTGCCGCTTGTCAACGAATGTGGGCTTATCTGCCAACCAACGCACCACGGAAGCTCTCGGATGTAATGGCACAATCACAACGGACGATGGGGATGTGAGATTCAACTTTAATTTTCAGTCGTGTGATTTTGGTCGTTTGGATGACGTGCTCTCAAATATCGAATGGGATGCTCTACTGCGACGGGAATCATTGGACGAGTCTGTATCAGCTTTCTATGATAAACTTTACGAAGTTCTTAGTGACCAAGTACCTCAAAAGAGACAACGAGCTTCTTCAGTCTACAACAAGCCATGGTGGACCTCTGAACTACGTCATCTACGAAATGTCCTCAGGAAAGCACGCAGCCGTTTCTTTCTGATGAAGTCCGATAGTGAGCGGAATAACCTTCAGGAAGTGGAAACAACGTTCAAGGCACTGCTCTTTTCCACGTATGAAAGTTACATGGCTAAGATTCAATAAGATGTCAAGCAAAATCCTTCATGTTTCTGGAATTTTGTCAGAAGCCAAAAATCGGCTACTCACATTCCAACTAACGTTGAATACGACGAAACCATCGTTAGCTCTAATTCGGAAGCAGCAAGCCTATTCGCCAAGTTCTTCGAGAGCGTATTTAGCAAATCATCGCCTGTTCCTCGCTTCAACCGCTTTGCCCATATTGCTTCACCAGACATAAATCAACCCGACGTTCAGTTTTCCGTTGTCGAAGTGGTGAAAGCCATTGAAGAACTCGACGTTGATAAAGGACCTGGAATGGACGGTATACCACCCTTGCTGCTGAAGAATTGCTCCACCGCACTTGCATCTCCCATAACATCTCTATTCAACCGTTCGCTGCATGACAGGATGTTCCCAGTGGCTTGGAAATCAGCTTCTATCATTCCAATCTACAAATCCGGCAACTGTAATCGAGTCACGAACTATCGAGGTGTTTCTGTCTTGTGTTGCTTGAGCAAAATTTTCGAAAAACTGGTGCATAACGCTCTGTATAACGCCGTATCTTCATTAATCTCCGGCAGCCAACATGGTTTCATGAAAAAACGCTCCACGACTACAAATCTGATGTGTTACGTCAACACCTTGTCTCACGAAGTTGAACATGGACAACAAGTTGATTCGATTTATATAGATTTCGCAAGGCCTTCGACACTGTACCACATATCTTGGTAATAGACAAAATGGTACACATGGGGTTTCGCTGGATAACGCAGTGGTTGTTCTCGTACCTGTCGGACAGAACCGATTGTGTTGTAGTGAATGCGGCACACTCCCAGCCGTTCAACATCACGTCCGGTGTACCCCAAGGAAGCGTTCTTGGGCCGCTGATCTTCAATATCTTCGTAAATGACTTGTGTATGGTGCTCTCTTCTTTTAACCTTTCTTTTGCCGACGACTTGAAGATTTATCGTGTCTTCACTTCTTCAGAAGACTGCATGGCGTTGCAAGAGGACATAAACGTTATGCTCGTTTAGTGTAGCGATAATGGAATGTGCGTGAACAGGGACAAATGCAAAGTTATTTCGTTTACGCGACGCACCAGGCCCGTCCATCAATTTAAAACGGAATCCGTCATACTGGAGCGAGTTCTATCGATTTGTGATCTGGGCGTTACTATTGACTCAAAATTGAAGTTGAACAAACATGTAGCTATTATAAGCGCCAAATCATTTTCTGCACTCGGATTTATTCGTCGACATGCTTCAGATTTTACTGATGTGTACGCTATCAACACGTTATATGTTTCGTTAGTGCGAAGTATCCTGGAGTATGCAGCTCCTGTATGGACACCATTCTACGCGACGCAGATCTTAGCAATTGAGCGTGTGCAGAGGAAATTCATACGATTCGCTCTACGCCGACCGATGCCGATTGCAGCGTTTGTTCGTGTTTGATGTCATCACAGGAGGTATTGACTGTCCTGCACTTCTTGAGCAGATACCGATCAACATTCCTCCACGTCGCTTCCGAAGTTCACCTCTACTGGCAATTCCGTACCACAGGACGAACTATGGGCATCACAATCCTCTTGATTCGTGTCTCCGGGCTTTTATTGAAGTTGACGACAAATTCGATTTTAACATGTCGAAAACTGTATTTTCACATAGGATTAGGAATTAAGTCTAGAAAATAGTATTAAGTAGTTCAGTCTGTGCGACTTAGTCGAAGGCGGTGATCGTAAATGAATAAATAAATGGCCCTTCATTTGCCACAGGTCCTCGAATACTTCAAAACAAGCGTTTGCCATATTCGGACTGAGTGTGATAATCACATTCCGGAAGTAACAAAACAAACTGCACTCCTAAAATTCAACTCTACTTAATGTTAAAGCTAGAAACAGTATTTCTACAACAGTAAATTGTGAAACCGCTCCACGCTAAAAGAGCCATATCACACTTGGAACGCATTTCGCGATTAATCACAACTCACAACCTTCGCCATTAAGGCATTAAAAGCTCTGCTTTCCACCCCATTTAACCCTTGCCCGCCTGGCACTAGCTACTGATGGTCACCACCCACCACCACCCTCACACCATCAGAATCATCGTCCTCCTCTTCGGCAACTGGCGTGAGCGAGTGTTTTTGATTATCCTTCTGTTGCTGCTGCTGCTGCAGCTGATGATGATGATGGTTATTGTGGGCGGCAGTGGGCGTGTGCAGTTGATTATACCCATTCTGCCACGGTGCCGGTTCCTCGGGTGGCGGTCGCGGCAGGTTATGCGGCTGTTCATGACGATGACGTAGCACTTTCGAGATGCTGTTGCTGCCACCGCTACCGGAAAGTAGTGTTATCGATCGATACCGGAAGCACACGAAAACGGCAAATATGGTCAAACCGCACCAGCTGAGCGCGTACAGCAAGTTGTACCGACTGGCCACGAACAGGGTCCAGTGGAGGAGCTGCAGGATGGTGGCAAACGTGGACAGGATGGCCCTGTGAGAAAATGAAGAAAGTAAAGAGATTGATTGATTGATGGAATAGCTGGCGGTGATTGGTCGGTGGTTGGGGAACATTTCCCATAAATTCAATTCCAGAGATAATTTACTTTTACAACTACATTTCAATATTCTAATTAATGTTGTTTAGTCCAATCAATAAATGTACTGCTGGTTGCTGTTTCTGACAGTACTAAGCCTAGTGCCATGGAACTTTACACGCAGCTTAACAAACCATTCTAGTAGTCACATTAAGGCCCATCATCTTCGGAAAAATGATCTGGATGACTTCGAAGGTGAGTACAGTTAAGTCCAAGGACAAGTCCAGGGACTAAACAGGTAAATGCACACAAGTTCACACGCTCACTACTGCCGGGTGTGTCCAAGCAGTCATTTCGAGATCTACTTTAAAAGTCTTTAACAGGTTGTCGACTACCTGTTAAACCCTGGAAAATCAGGGAATCTAAGGGAATTCCATTTGTGATCTGTAAACTTAGGGAATTTTAAGTAATTTTCTTTAAATTCAGTAAAATATTCCGTAATCTTTATTGATACCTGTATTACAAACTACAATGATAGCACCAATCATGTACGAAAATGAAGCATTGAATTTAAAGATTAGAACTTGAAAAAAAGGATTCTATTTGAACAATTTAATAAATCCAGGGGGAAAGATCTTGGTCTAGACCCATTTTTTAAAGATCCAAGGTACGGATATGGCCAGCTCGGGGACGTATTTCAGTTTCAAGGTTTCGTAATTTGGAAAATTTTGAAAATTGTGGACTAAGCTCACGTGGCTTAAAAAATAAGATTCTGGATCATTTAAGTTTTGACGATTTGCTGGCTTATGAATATTTACAATATTCTAAACAACGTTGTGCACCATGATTTTTTTTTGCTTTGGTTTTGTGTAAGACCCCAGTTTTAAAACAAAAACCAAGGTTGCGGGTCATTAGTAATTTATCTGATGTCAGACTTGGAAACGGATTAAGAAACTAAGATCTTGGAATACGGAAAAAAAATCAAGGGCCATAGTAAAACAAACTTTTAAATCAAGAACCTGGATGAACCTCTACATTGGTGGTGCATAGAAACAGCCTATAGTGTAGCGATCGTGTCAGCCTCTAGCGGTTAATAGGGGAACCATCAAAAAAGTAATGAGGGTGGAAATTTTCACCTTGAAGCATAGGAAAAGGAAAATATTTTCATCCTTCTTGATTAATGTATCCACCCCTGCGGTAAAATCGTCATCCACGTCGAATGTTTTGTTTTTTGTATCAATTTTGCAGTGATCGAACGGGTGTTTCTCTATATTTTGTGTGAGAAAATTTAAGATTTATAAAATTGTGTCAGCGGTTATGATCGTCTGGATTTTTAATGTGAAGTTAATTCAGTTGTAAATGAGTTCAGATCTGTAGATAATCGAAAAATATGACCACTCCCGATGGGAATTTGTAAGTTGTGTAATAAGAGCACCCGCACCAATGCGTTGCTATTCGGGCTGCTAGTTTGACAACTTTAGCCATTGCTATTTTAGATAGAAACTTGTTTCCGCACCGGTCGGTGCTATCACGATTGTGAATTTATGTTTTCGGCTTTCGCACCGATAGTTGCTAAACTTATCGTCGAACTTCGAACTGAAATCGATCACAGAGCTTCGTGATTGTTTTTTTTTCGACAGTATTGATATACCTAATCACGAAGACTGAATATTGAAGGTTAAGATCCAACTACAGACTCAGGTCCTCCGGAAGATCCGAAGAGCCCAGCGATTTTTTTTAATCACTTGTTGTGATGCTGCATGAATTAATTTGAATCTGGGACCAGCACGCGCACACTGGTGGTCACGAAACTGTCCTCTGGGAGATCCGGATCTTCCATAAAAGTGGTCAATTCGTAAAAATAATTGAAATATCGATCTTCGTATGCTCATCTTATAAAAGTTGCGCACCAAAAGGCAAAAAGGCATTTTCGGATGCCCATCTGGATTACTACACACTTATCGAGTCAGTAATTTTTACCAAGTTTTGAATTGCGGAACTCTATTTACAGACTTACTTCTGTTAACCCCGTGTAATGTTGAAAAATAAAATTTGTCGGTTTTATCCAATATTTACGAATAACAGTCATTTGAATTTTTACCGAGGTTTTCAGTAATCCAAAAATCCAGTAAAAAATACTGACTGCTGTAAAAAAAATCTAAGTTGTAGATTATATAATTTAGCTTGTGAATGTCTCAAGCTCGGTTGGTCGAATAGATTTCAGGAAAATTTACTTCAGCGAAGATCAAGAGCTTCAGGGCAGTTCCATTAAATTCAGGAAAATTAAAGCTTAATGACGTATGAGTAAGTTACGTGAACTTCGGGTAAGTTCTGAAAATATTGGTGCAGTCCTATGAATATTAGGAAAACTGTGAGAACTTGAGGGAGGTTTATTTATTTCAGTAAAATAGAGGAAAGCATCAAAAAGTTCCGAAAATTTAAGGATAGTAAAAAAAC